TTTTTTTTTTCTTTTTTTTTCCCAGAAAGACTAGTTCAGACAAAGAACAGACATTCTTCATGCTTAAACAACTTATTTTTCATCTTAAGCTGAAATGCTTGAACAAGTCTTTACCAATTCTCCATGCTTCTACAGCAAATTGGCTGCAAAAGCCATTTCTAGATGGGGAAGTGAATCTTTCCTCTCCTGTATATGCTGCCTAAGAGCTGAATGGGCAAACTTCCTAGCTCATATGTATGGCTTGCCCATTTAAACTGAAGTGTAGTCACTGAGGCATGTTGTAAGGATGGAAAAATCATGTCAGAGCGGAATACACAGGAGATACTGAAGTGAAGAAAGACATATATGTCTTTGCACATGGTGGGAGGGAGTTGCTGTGCACTGAACAGGAAGATTACTGGACTGACATAAGAGATACAACATCAGAGGGCACAAATGGAAGTGTTCTTTCTAGTGAAGCAAAAGCAGGAAAAAATAAGACTAAAAACAGCTGCTGATAAAAGTGATTCATTTCTGAATACATATGGAGAGAAGGTGGGTGTGTATGAAATGGATTAAATTGGAGCAAAAAAAGAGAGGATCTTTAAGTTACTTAGCCAATTCACTGTTGTGGAAAGTTGCATGATTATTCAGTGCATGTAGTCATCTCTTTCTTTGGCATCATAGTTATTTCCTACTTATAAATTTGTCCTATTAAATACTTACTGTTTTTGGATGAAATAAAATGCAATGTTTCAAGGCTTGTGGGAACTACGTTAGTTTTTTTCCTCTTCATTGGCTTTGAAATTTAAGCACTGAGACCTGTAGCGCCTTTGAATGATTTGTAGGTGCTTTCATGGCGCTAATATTGTTTCAAATGATATCTTGATTTCTTCTTTAAAGGGTAAAGGAGGAAGGAGGAGACATCTCACTAATCTCCCCTCTTTGGGGGAAAATAGCAATGGACTCTGGAGTAAACTACATCCTCCTCTTTCCACATTATGGAGTAGTACCTCATAAATAAGAGGGGGAGGGTGGGGGGAAAGGATGTTCTTTTTCTCCAAAGAACCTGTGATGGGGCAAGAGCAGGGACTGATGGTCCCAGACCAGACTGAAATGGGAGCCTGATCCAGGCAGGAGGGGATGGGGGTAGGTGGGACACAGGGACAGCAAGGGCTTTGTTGAAACAAATGATTTAGCAAAAGTGATGCTACTCCATCTTTATAGTGTCACCCTTAAAATGGGACAAAAAGGAATTTGGTACTGCTCACTTGGACAGCTCTTCCATAAACTACTGTCTGGGCTTTCTACTTCTGTTTATAGGACTCTAGCTCTTGGTACTAAACCTTTCGTCATTCACAGAGAGGTCTCCTGCTGTAACTGAGTTATTGGGGTATAGCTCTGTCTTCCTGCACACTTACTAACTTTCTCTTTGCCAGTGCTCTGCAAATTCTTCATGGCTGAAATTACCTTTGCTACTTCGGGTGCATGAAAGGAGGCATCAGCTGGTAGTGGTTCTACTGCCTGGAGCACCTGCGCATAGTCAGAGCTTCCGAAGCCCTGAGGAAACCTGTTCCTGTCACTGCGTGCTCCCCTGCAGACTTAGCTTGGATTCATTACAGGACGTAAGGAACTCTGTAACTTACAGAGGCAAGAATGGCCTCTGCATTATTGGTTCTGAGCTTAGCACTTTGTGTTTTACTGTATCTTTTGCATCAAAAAGCTCCCTTTTATTTGAGGTTAAAATATGTGGGGGATGGAAATGGGCAGAAGCAGAAACATCTCATTGAACAGATACAATCTAGTCTGTGGTTTTCTCACTAAAGCTGTCATTACTGCAACTGCCTGTTCCTATATTCATCTGAATTTGATAAGGTCTAGCCAAGTATCTCTGCAAATGTGTTGTATGAAGATCTTATAAAAGCCTAAATGTTTTGAAAGAAAGCTCTTTTACTCTCTTCTTTAATGAAAATTCAAACCTGCCTTCTTGATGGGGCCTGACTTATCAAATTTATTAAACTTTTAGATAACATGAAGTCAGGAGAGATCATGTATAGGGAGAGGCTTAGAGTTCAGAAGGTTGTTGATAGTCTGAAAAAGCCTATGGAAGAAAAGGGGTACAGTTCTAGATAGAAATGCTTAGCTTGAAGATGGCAATGATTAGCAGTACAAATGCAAAATGGAGGGGAAGAGGAAGTAGGAAGGAAAGGAAGATTTAAGCTGAACAAAAGATCAGTATTGTTCACTGCCATATGGTTGTGAAAAAGGCTAGCATGTATAGATGTATAACCAGAGGAGTACACAAGACTTGTGATGGAACTGGTTGGCCGTTTGGGAGAGGTAGTCTGAGTCACCAATGCAGATGTGCACCAATTAGAGAAGCAGATAAGCAAGTGTCAAGAGAATATAGCTGAGAAACAGAAAAATCTCCCAAGGGCGTCATTTATCTTAAAAGGAGAACACTGAAATGTGTTCTTACAAATAAATCAAAACTATTGTAGAAAAAGGAGATAATCTGCCTTATGCCATGGAAACTGAATACAAGGAATAACAGGCTTAAATTAATGGAGATTAAATCAAACATGAAATACTTTTAAATACAGAGCAATGCTATGAGAGACATGAAGTTTTTCACTGGAGATCTAACCTGCCATAAGAAAGTCCCAGCTAGTATATATGTTGATCTAGGGTAGCGATTGGAATTAAATTACCTCCTGATATGCTTTCTGCACACTTTACCTCTATTTTAGATTGGTTAAGATAAATGCAAAGAAAGGGAAAGCCTCTTAGTGGGAAGCTGTGTGCAGAGGTGCTGTGCAGCAGACTTGCCGCTTGCGTTTCCTGCCTCCGCTGCAGTAGCAGCGAGGAAGCTGTATGGTTGTGGGAGGGAGCTGTGCTCTTGCAGAAGTTTTTCTGATCTATTAGTGCCAAACTCCCTCCTCTCCGCTTCCAAGTGTAGTGGGCTGGGCATGCTTGAATATTATTCGGAGTACTGTTGTCGCTCGCATCCCATGGTGATGAGTGGGGTGCCCATGGATCTTGTATCTCTGCTCAAGTGACAAATTCTGAGGCTTCTTCTATGCATTCAGTCTGGAAGCTAAAATAACTGAGATGCAGAGAAAACGCTTCAAAAGGTGACTGAAGTACCTCAAATTTTCAAGAGAAAATGGCCAAAGAAAATCATAGTGATGTTGAATTGTGCTATCAGGGATGCCTGATGCAGCACCACCTGAATACTTATGAGGTGGGCAGTAATGTGCTTTGGAGTCACTTAGACACCTAATTATGGAGAACTCCAACAGGGCTTAGCTCTGCCTCCCTCCCCAGGAGGGATATAACAGCTTTCCTAAGCCATGGAAGGCCTCTTTGCTTGCCAATGGAAACCCTAGTAAGCTGCCAGGATGGATGTTGCAGGAGGACAGTCGCAGGACTGGAACAGGCTCAATCAAGTCATAGTTGGTCGCCTGCAATAACTGGTGACCAAGTAACAGATGTCTTGGCAAGGAAGGACCACCAAATGTCTGCTCCACATTTCTGCGGTTCATGGGCCAGATATCAGAAGGATGTTTCTTCCTTTTGAGCGTTGCAGAATTGTTTCATCTTGTAGCATCAGTACTTAATTATTCTCTGTGATATTTACCTTGTGTTAATAAATATATTTTTACAAGTTGGACTTTTTAATTTTGTTTTTCTCCTAGGTTAAGGATGAGAAAGGAACAGGAACAACCTTTCCCTGTAAAACTATATCCTTACTTTTTCTGGTAGCTGTACTCTGGAACTTGTTCAACTTTTTGATGACAAACTGCACAGAATTTCAAGTGAGATCTTACAGTTACTTGTTCAAACCTACTACTATGTCACTGTCTTCACTAAAAGCCTGCCTAATGTTACCTAGAAAGCCACTGTTCTATATTGCTGAAAAATCATGCCCAGCTGACTTATAAGATGCTAACTCTGATTTCAGGTCCTAATTGTAGGAAGAACTCTCATTATTGGTCTGCAAGTGCATGACTTAACAGCTTTTCTATTCCATGTGCTCCCCTATAAACTTATTTTGGCCACCAAGGTCAGCTACTTATAGTAGGATGATCTGGTGTTCAGCTCAGCATTGCCCGCCTGTCTCCTGGGTATAACCTCACTTCTTGCACTCTGTGGGGAAAAAACAGACAGGATCAGTCTCTTGCCAGAAGCCACATATCTTTATCCAGACACCGCTCTCATTCAAGGATCTGGGTAAAGAGTAGATAATACTTTTACTAATCCCCATCACTGCCACTTAGAAAGTGCCTGGCTATAATCAAAATAGATGAAGTCAACCAGCTGTAAGGAATATCTTAGAATCATTTTAGTAGGTAAGGATCCAAGATAACCTGTCTTTGATACAATGTGTAATTTGTGCCACTCTCCCTTTGTCTCAACGCTTTTGATTTGTTTTTCCTGCAAAATCTGTTCAATATATGAGGAGTATTAAGATCAGAGAAATGAGCTTAGAGTTGACAGTTTTCTTCTTTGTCTTTGAAAGCATTAGTTACAGACTGTTTTCTCATTTTATGGTGTTACCTTGAGCCTGAATTCACTTAAGCTCTTGTTATGAGACTTCTTTTGTCCCTAATCCTCAAATACTAGAATGCATAAAACAAGAAGATTTGGACCATTTTTTTTTTCTCTGCCACAGCTACTACAGCTTACAGTGTCCTCACGTTTATTAAACTTATTATATTATGAATCTCATTGTTTGCATTGTAAACAGAGGCAAAAATCCTTGCTTGACAGCTGGATTGCACCTGGGTTATCCCAAATCCCTGCGTACCTGAAAATTGCTCTGGCCTCTTTTTTTCTCCTCTTTTTTTGGCTTTTTCTCTACAAGGCACAGCTGCTTTCAGCCAGAAACTAATTCTACCTAATTCTACAATCCCACCAGACTGGGGTAAATGCAAACCCATTTGAGCTCTGTTATCTGCAAGCTTGAAATCTACTTGCTTTCTGGGACAGATGGTGGGTCTAAAATATTCATCTACAGATATTTTTGACATGCTGCTGTAAAAGCAGACATTGAATATGAAATTCTTCTAGGAATGTGAAATGGACTTTACATGGTTACCGATGTTGTCTAGATTGTACCAGGTTTTAATTTTTTCTGTACTTTTAGTTGCTGGCTATCACTCTCTGGATCAATGAGAAGAAATTAAATAAGCATTAGTTTCTTTCTGAAAGCAGTCATTTGTATTATACACTGAAGTAGAAACATTTGATAGTATTTTATGGACAGATATTGAAGTAGAGGGAAATGTTAAAATAAAACCATGCCTTTTCTTCAGATCTTTTGCTGAAAGATTGATTGAAAGGGAAAGAAGAGGGCTGAGCGTTGACCTGGAGCGGCTTGACATTGAGCAGTGTGCCACCAGTTGTTCTAATGTCAGCTTTCTTCTTGTAAAAAGGAGACGGGATTCTTTCTCTTTAAGCTGCAATGGGCAGCCAAAGAGAGAATGCTTCAGCACAACACTTTAATGAGAAAAGGAGCAAGAAACGAGTATAACAAAAGCTGTTCAAAACTTTACTTTGAAGCTTTCCATTTCTGCTGAATCCTTTTAATCTGTACTATAACCTTTTCCTAGCCTGTTCTACTCTGCTATGGCATTTAGTTCATCTAATTGCACTTTGCTTCCTAGAATCCTTTGCTGTCATAAAAATAAATGTTTCTTCTACATCTGTATATGGATCCTGCTAATACCATTTTAACAGCATATTCTTACTCAATATGAAACTCTTTTTCATTCTTCTGGGCTATGCTGGACACCATGTCTCCACTTTTCCTGTTAAAATTGTGGGTATTCTGAAGCAGGGCTTCATTATTCAAACTTTTTCTTTGCAAACCAGAGTTTTTGCAGTTTTGCGGTGTCCTATGCTTTCAGTTCCATCCTTGTGGGAGGAGGAGGTAAAGGCCTTGACCACTTTGTGCAGGATCAGGTGATAAGGTGAGCCCCTTGAAATGCCTCTGCTGAAACACGGACTGGTAGAGAGCAGTCTTTGTTGGGCAGCAAACTTGTAGCGAGAAGAGCTGTTATGTTCTAACTGCATCTCTTCTGACAGCAGCCAGTTGATATTCTAGGACAAAGCTGTGTGAAGCCTGGCTCTGCCTGTTACCATCTCCATAGCACCGCATGAAGATGGTGGCCACATACCAAAGTGATGGCCAAGTGCCCCCGAACCACCCTGCTCACCCACACCCACCGCTGTTTGCGTATCGCATCACCCACACACACAGATCGGGAGCAACTGTCATGACCACAAGATTGAACTTGGCATCAAAAACTGGAAGGAGTGCTGTGTGACACTTAAATTTCAGTTTAAGAATCTCCCTCCTTCCTACCTGCCTTTGGTGAGGGCAGGGATTGGGTCTCCAAGAGTGGTTCTTGCCTCTTTTCCACAGTCTGTCCTGGAAAGCTTGTCACGCAGCAGACATTGGTTGAGATGCAAGAGAATGTGCCTGAAAACAAGCGGTAATAGCTACAAGGAAAACAATGTTATATTTCTTTAAGCAGTTTTGGTATTTCTCTGCTTCATATATGAAACTAGCTGAGCTTGTTGTTCTGTATACTCATACCTGTGAATGCGCCTTAAAAAAAGAAAAGATTAGCTCAGATACTCCTTAAGTTTTGATTTGTTTGAGCACTGGTGTAGAAAAATACTTAAGTTGTCTTGTCTGTAATTCAAAATGGAGAGGAGAAAGCACACACACTTTTAAATTCAAAACCAAAAGTTAGGACATTTTTAAGTAGTTCCCTTAAGGACTCTGTCTTCTACTTGTCACTATGTACTCCTTTATAGTCACCATTTTACTTTAAGCAAAAGTGAGAAAAAGGTCAAGAAACGTGCATGTGGCTAGGAGTAATTTCTAGATTCTTCTGCTGATTTCTTCACTTGACATTAAAGTACTTCTAGCACTAAGTCAATTTTTTTTTAAGTAACACCAGGCTATAGGTAACGTGCTGATCCTAGCTTTGTGACTATGCACTGCAGTATAGCATTGGCTAGGGTCTAGGAATGTGATCACTGTAATTTAAAGATGAGCATCTGACTCAGGTGGTCTCTGCTGGATTTGGGCCCAAGAAACCCTAAAGGAGATAAGTGTTGGCAGAGATCAATCCTGAACTCCTGAACAATACCTCAGAAAACCTGAGATAAGATCAGCTTCTGCTTTGAAATTGAGACCTACTTCAGTAGGAGTAACCTTTACATAAGCCGTTGCAAGAATGGAAGAAATGATGAGGCAGAAGTGTTAGGAAAGTGAATGATGCTGCAGCGCTGTCAAAGCACCTGCAAAAATAGCTGCATGTGGAAGCGCAAACTTGGTTCCAGACTCGAGCTTGAGTTTCCAGCTAATCAGCATGAATTGATCAAACCTGTCCAGAGAGTTAACACAAAACACAACAAAGATAAACACAGGCCAAATAAAAAATCGCTGAGGAAAAACAATTTAGCTTTGTAAAGCAACTCTATCTGCTTCTTAGAAGTAAAAAGCTTTCAGTGCTACTCTAGAGCTTCCTGTAAAACAAACAAACAAACACGGACTCATGTTGCCGGTTTTAGGCATCGTTGTGTATTGCACTGAGGAGAGAGAACCCTGCCTTCTTTCCGTCACTTCAGTGCAACTTGGGAGTTTCCTTTGGAGTAAAAAGCCATGTTAAGTGTGCACAAGCACGAACCTCCTTTTGTCTCTGAAAAAGAATTTGCTTTCCCTGATCTTTAGAACAAGGAAGTTGCAGCTTTTTTCCCATCATCTTTCTTGGCCTTGTTTTCCAATTGTGGACAAAGTTCAGTTGCATGTGTGTTTCTGGGAAGTGAACTTGAAAGCAATCACAGGTCACGTAGAGCAACTTGTCACACATGATGATTCCACCTGCCCTCTTGTAGTAGACAAGGAAGCTGGCTGCTTAAATAACAGAAATAAGAGAGGGAAACTTTTTTTTGAAGGTAGAGAGATCCTTTTTAAGGATCTCCTCAAAGCATCTCCTTTTTGTTTCTCTCTATGAGGAACTTAAGTTTCTTTAGCTACCTGAAATCCGATGTAAGGTTGTGTAACTGGATTGTTCTCCAAACATTGAATTTAATTAGCTTTTAATAAACATTTTTAGATACTTAAACAGTAATGAGTTTGGTATCAAATATAAGTTAGAAGGTAACATTAAGACCTGTGATCGAAAGGAAAATACCATGTGCCCAGAAGAACATATTAGTTATGATTTGCTTGCCAAGGTTTGAGAAGCGTAATCAGGGTCTATCGAGTAATAGTTATAAGGCCCTAAAGAGAGGGAAATTGGGCTGTGGGAAAGAAAACAGAGAATTTTTATGGTAAAAAAAATTTGTCTCCTCTCTTACCAGCATGTATATTGCAGGCTCACTCTTGCTTGAAGGATTAATAATTTGAAATGGCTGACTGTACAGTGAGTGTGTGCTAAGGAAATGCATTTCCACTGGAGGAAAACACAAGGCTGTTAAATGTCCTTTTGATTTATGAGTGGTACAAATTAAAATTTGAAGGTGAGTGTTAAGGCATCCTGATATAACACATTTTTCTTTGGATCCAGAGAAGCATGCAGGCACATGCTTAAATCATAAGCTTTTCTATAAATACATACGTGGTACTGCTTGAGTGATACACTATGGCAGCATGCTAAAAACTAGACTAGTGTGGAAGCTGCTTGCCAGTGTAAAGCTACCTTTGGTTGATACTGCCTGTTCCTCTGTTCTTGCAAGAAAATCCATATTCTGGGGGAACAAAGGGAAATAACTCTTTTCTTCAAATCAGACTGGTCATCCTGGTCAATAAAATCCACTAGCGGATGAGGCTTAATAGAAGCTAATAAGGGAACTGCTTCAAGTGAACACTCAGCTCTCTGCTAAAGGGAGGCCAAATAGATTCTGCTGGGCTGCTTTAGTCCCAACACTATCCCTGAAGTTCCCCAAGCCTCAGGAAAGCATCTTGGTGTGAGGTTCCCATAGAGTGGATGGAACCTAGCTAGCAGGACTGTGATCATTTGTGTCTGGTTCTGCCAAACTAATTCAGTCCAGATGCAGAATTTCTGCAAAACACCTTGGCTCTTTTCGGACAGAAGTACAACCAGACCTCAACTTTGTGTTTAGTTGCGATGAGAAGCAGTATGTTTCCTGCTTCTTCTGTCGTCTCTCATTCTTTCTGTCTTCTTTCTCCTCTCCAGATAAATAATATTCTAGGTTGCCTAGTGGGTATAAGATTTTGATGACACTAGATTGTGAAAACTCCAGACCCAGCCTTGCCAATAGTCTGTAGACTTTTTTTTTGCACTAAAATGTCAGTGGGGTTTATAGCACTTAGGACCTAGTAGAATCCAGTCCTAAGGGAAGAATGTAATCAATTCTTGATGTGGTAGGCAGAATGCTACCTATTCAGGGCAATTCACAGTTGATGAGGAGGAAAGGAGCCACATCAGAGATGATGGAAGAAGCCAATGGAATTGGATGAGGCACAGCAGGTCTCTTACTTTTCTTAATTTTATTTTATGAGGTTTTCAACATTGGGAAACAAATGTTCTCTTTTGTTCTTTATTTAATGGGAGACCTATGTGAACACAGCAACAAGCAGCTGAGGGACCAGACGGGTTATACAAAGGATCAAATCTCAGTCTACCATATAAAAACTTCAGCAGTGAAGTCCTTCAGGCTTAGGAAGCAGGAGACTCCCTGCGGAGATGCATATTCTTCTTTATTTGCCTTGCCATTTTTGCATACAGAGCCACGAGAGCTGGGAGAGACTTAGCAATCAAAATTGAGTTTTCAGGTACTCATTTTCCTGTAATACTCCGTATTCAAAGAGTACTTTAAAACTAAATCAGCAAGTAAAAGAAGGCTGATGAGCAAGTGTTCATGCTGACACCAAAGGGGATGTTGCAGTTCTGTTATCCTTGCTGGGGTAGCAGCAACAGAGTCTGATCTCTCCAGGAGCCTGAGTTGACATCTGGGGCTTCTGACAAATGCAGCCTGACTGAGGCAATGCCTCAGAGAGTGTGAAGGGAGTTCTTGGCTTTCTAGAAAAAAAACAGCAGTAAAGAAGTACTTGGATTTCAGTCCCTATAAAGGGAAGATTTTTGCCGGGTAAGAGCAGTGACCTGTGTAAATAACCCTCAGTTCTCTGTTATTTAAGCAGAAATTCTGAGGTGCCTAGAGAATTCAGCGTTCCTGACAGAGACTGTTGTGATAAATGAACACGGACATGATGCTAGAGGAGTCTGTACATAGTTCTTAGGTGCCTCCTTGTCAGCAGGGACTGCTCAAGAGCAACAAGGGAAGCCGTAGAGCAGCTGTTTTGCATCTGCCATGAAATGAAATTAATGTAGGTGAGGCGGGGAGAATGAATGGACTGTGTAACAAAGTGATTTCCTCCCCTTACTAATTGGCAGAAATACCTAGGTAACCCCTTAGTGTTCTTCTGTTCTCAGGCTGTCCAAACTTGAATACACCTTTCAGGTTATGAATGTTTCTTTTAATATGCTGAGAACGATGGAAAAGGGTCTAGATGATATGCTCAGGTGGATTGTAGGAAAAGAGGCTGGGAATGCAACTTTCAACACTGTCATGTAACACTGTGCTGACTTCCAAATGGGAGAGGGAAATGACCAGCTACCGATCCTCACCAGTAGTTAAGGTATTTGATCTGTGCTTACCTGCTCATTAGGTGACCCTTGTCAGAAAGGAATTCATAGAAAAATGTAAAAAATGTGTGTACATTAAAGTGTGACTGTAGACACCAGATTACATTAATTCACCTGTGCTAATGCTCAGGAGTAACAAAACAGGGTCAATATGTTTAGTTTTCCTTTTTATGTTACTGCAAGCTGGCTACGCTGCTCCAGGTCTTAGTTCTCAGTGATTCACAACAGAGCAAAATACAGTTGGACACAGGGCCAAAAAAACACAGATTGAGCTGGCCACTCGGTATCTCTGATAGCTAATCCTTCTCTTAAAACACGTAACCTTAGAAACAGCAGCTGTATGTTTAAAGAATTCTTATTAGCATAAGCCTCACCTCATCTCAACATGTAGGTAAAATGTCAAGGG